GGTTGGGGATGGTTTGGGGGGTACCCTGTAAGGGATCACTGCGAGTTGGGTCTGGGGGAGATTTGGGACCTCAGGGCTTGGAGGGTCTCGGGGGAGTTTTGGGGCCCCCCTGGGGTTTTTGGGGGGCCTGAAGCCCCCCCCGAGCCCCCCCAGACCCCAATTTCTCCCTCCCCGGGGGCAGCTCCTGGACCCGGAGCCGTCGGAGCCGATGGCGGCTGAGACCTACGGGAACTTCGACACCCAGGTGAGGGGGGGGCAGATTTCGTGGGGCCCCCCTGGGGTTTTTGGGGGGCCTGAAGCCCCCCCCGAGCCCCCCCAGACCCCAATTTCTCCCTCCCCGGGGGCAGCTCCTGGACCCGGAGCCGTCGGAGCCGATGGCGGCTGAGACCTACGGGAACTTCGACACCCAGGTGAGGGGGGGGCAGATTTCGGGGGGTCCCGGGGGGAATTTGGGGGTGCCAGGGGGTGTCTGAGCCCCCCCGTGCCCCCCCAGTCCCGCCAGTATTACTTCCTGAGCCAGGAGCCCCCCGAGGAGGGGTCGGGGCAGCGCTGCCACGAGCTGGAGCAGCAGGTGAGGACCCCCAAATCCTGGGGCCCCCCAAATTCCACCCGAGGGTGAGCGGGAGGGGGGGTCTCTGCCAGCTCGGGGGAGCACCTGGGGGGGATCCTGCACACCTGGGGGGGATCCCCCACACCTGGGATGGATCCTGCACACCTGGAAAGGATTCTGCACACCTGGGAGGGATCCTGCACACCTGGGAAAGATCTTGGACACCTGGGGGGAATCCTGCACACCTGGGGGGAATCCTGCACACCTGGGGGGGATCCTGCACACCTGGATTCCTTCCTGTACACCTGGGAGGGATCCTGCACACCTGGATTCCTTTCTGTGTATCTGAGAGGGGATCCTGCAGACCTGGGGGCAATCCTGCACACCTGGGAGGGACTCTCACACACCTGGGAGGGATCTTGAACACCTGGGAGGGATCCTGCACACCTGGGAAAGATCTTGGACACCTGGGGGGAATCCTGCACACCTGGGGGGAATCCTGCACACCTGGGGGGGATCCTGCACACCTGGATTCCTTCCTGTACACCTGGGAGGGATCCTGCACACCTGGATTCCTTTCTGTGTATCTGAGAGGGGATCCTGCAGACCTGGGGGCAATCCTGCACACCTGGGAGGGACTCTCACACACCTGGGAGGGATCTTGAACACCTGGGAGGGATCCTGCACACCTGGGAAAGATCTTGGACACCTGGGGGGAATCCTGCACACCTGGGGGGAATCCTGCACACCTGGGGGGGATCCTGCACACCTGGATTCCTTCCTGTACACCTGGGAGGGATCCTGCACACCTGGATTCCTTTCTGTGTATCTGAGAGGGGATCCTGCAGACCTGGGGGCAATCCTGCACACCTGGGAGGGACTCTCACACACCTGGGAGGGATCTTGAACACCTGGGAGGGATCCTGCACACCTGGGAAAGATCTTGGACACCTGGGGGGAATCCTGCACACCTGGGGGGAATCCTGCACACCTGGGGGGGATCCTGCACACCTGGATTCCTTCCTGTACACCTGGGAGGGATCCTGCACACCTGGATTCCTTTCTGTGTATCTGAGAGGGGATCCTGCAGACCTGGGGGCAATCCTGCACACCTGGGAGGGACTCTCACACACCTGGGAGGGATCTTGAACACCTGGGAGGGATCCTGCACACCTGGGAAAGATCTTGGACACCTGGGGGGAATCCTGCACACCTGGGGGGAATCCTGCACACCTGGGGGGGATCCTGCACACCTGGATTCCTTCCTGTACACCTGGGAGGGATCCTGCACACCTGGATTCCTTTCTGTGTATCTGAGAGGGGATCCTGCAGACCTGGGGGCAATCCTGCACACCTGGGAGGGACTCTCACACACCTGGGAGGGATCTTGAACACCTGGGAGGGATCCTGCACACCTGGGAAAGATCTTGGACACCTGGGGGGAATCCTGCACACCTGGGGGGAATCCTGCACACCTGGGGGGGATCCTGCACACCTGGATTCCTTCCTGTACACCTGGGAGGGATCCTGCACACCTGGATTCCTTTCTGTGTATCTGAGAGGGGATCCTGCAGACCTGGGGGCAATCCTGCACACCTGGGAGGGACTCTCACACACCTGGGAGGGATCTTGAACACCTGGGAGGGATCCTGCACACCTGGGAAAGATCTTGGACACCTGGGGGGAATCCTGCACACCTGGGGGGAATCCTGCACACCTGGGGGGGATCCTGCACACCTGGATTCCTTCCTGTACACCTGGGAGGGATCCTGCACACCTGGATTCCTTTCTGTGTATCTGAGAGGGAGCACCTGCACAGGTGAGCTGAGCCCTGTAAAGGTGTGCTGAGCTCTGTAAAGGTGAGCTGAGCACCTGCACAGGTGAGCTGAGCCCTGTAAAGGTGAGCTGAGCCCTGTAAAGGTGAGCTGATACCTGCTCAGGTGAGCTGAGCCCTGCTCAGGTGAGCTGAGCTCTGCTCAGGTGAGCTGAGCACCTGCACAGGTGAGCTGAGCTCTGCTCAGGTGAGCTGAGCCCTGCACAGGTGTGCTGAGCACCTGCACAGGTGAGCTGAGCTCTGTAAAGGTGAGCTGAGCACTTGCATAGGTGAGCTGAGCTCTGCTCAGGTGAGCTTAGCACCTGCTCAGGTGAGCTGCCACCTGCAAAGGTGAGCTGACACCTGCTTGGGTGAGCCAGGATACCTGCTCAAATAAACCAGTCACCTGCTCAGGTGAGCCGGGGCACCTGCTCAGGTAAGCCACTTACCTGCTCAGGTGAGCCCGGGGGCCCGCACTGTCACCGTCACCATCGGGGCGGTGCCAGCACGTGCCCGTGGCCGTGGCCGTGTTTCGGAGCTCAGGCACGGCTCACCTGGGCTCAGGTGTCGCGGGAGATCCTCGGCGGTGCCCCGTGCCCAGGTGTCACCGTCCCCGCCGTGTCCCAGGGCGTCGTCGGCGCGGGCGGGCCGGCTCGAGGCGGCGGTGGCCACGTACCGGGGCCGGGTGACAGAGCACCTGGGCAGGTAACAGAGAACCTGGGGAGGTGACACAACACCTGGGGAGGTGACAGAGCACCTGGGGAGGTGACACAACACCTGGGCAGGTGACAGAGCACCTGGGCAGGTGGGGACACGCTCCTCACCCGCACAATGCTTGTGTGGACACCAGAGAGCCCCCACGGGGTTCGGGGGGCTCCGGGGGGTTTGGGGGGCTCCGCAGGGTTGGGGGGGCAGCGCACACCTTTGGGGTGTCACCTGCTGTCCCCGTGCCCAAAGCCCATCTCTGCCCCCAGACGCGGGGCTGGAGGGGGGCGCGGCCCCTCCCCGGAATTTGGCGGCTGAGATCCTTCCCGCGGAGCTCAGGTGGGTCCGGGGGGGCGTCCGGTGACACGGCTGGAGGGGGGGTCCCCGGCTTTTTGTGGGGTCCCCCGCGAGCACCCCGGTGTCCCCCCAGGGACGCGGTGACGCGGCTGCGGCGCGAGAACCGACGGCTGCGGCTGCAGCGGGACCAGCTCCAGCACAGGTGGGGGTCTGGGGGTCCGGGGGTCCTCGAAAGACCCCTGAGAGCCCCCCCAGTCCCTGACGAGCCTCCCAGTCCCTGCAGTTCGTTGTGTGGGCTGATGGCCCCCCACTCCCACAGGCTGGAGGCCGCAGAGGCAGCTGAGCCTCGGACAGCGCAGGGGAGGCCCCAGGAGGAGGTGAGGGGGGCACCGGGGAGATTTTGGGGGGTCTCAACAGCCGGGGGGGGTCCCCAGTTCGTTGTGTGGGTCTCGGTGTTTTGGGGGGGTCAGGTTTTATTGGGGGCACCTCAGCGTTTCAGCTTGACCTCTCTGAATTCCCCCCAGCTGGTGCTGCTGGAGGAGGCGCCCGAGGACCTGTGAGTTTTTGGGGGGTGGGGGGCATTTGGGGGGCCCTCCTAGCATCCCCCACCTGTGACCACCCCCTGCTCCCCCAGGGATGAGCTGCCGGAGGACGAGGAGGAGGAGGAGGAGGAGGAAGAGCTGGAGCTCTCCAGGGCTGGTATGAGGGGGTCTGGAGTGGGCATCAGAATTTGGGGAGGGGTCTGGGTGTGGGGAGTCCTGGGGGGAAGTTTTGGGGTACCCCAGAGTGGGGGTTGGAAACAGGGATCCTGGGGGGTGACGTCTGGAGGGAGGGGGCAGGAGATGAGCCATGCCTCAGTTTCCCCATGAGGATTTGGGGGCTTTGGGGCTCCTTCCTGGCTAAGCTCCCTTTTTGCTCGCTCTGTGGGATCAGGATTTCGAGGTTCCACGAGGTCGCCCCCCCAAAAACCCTCATCGTCCCCCGGGGACCCCCCCGGGACTCCCCCCCTGGCCCCCGTGCTGCAGCTCCTGCGCAGCCAGCTGCAGGAGAAGGACGCGCTGATCCGGCACCTGGAGGTGAGGGGTTAACCCTGGGGTGGGTTTGGGGGGGTCCTGGGGGTCTCCATCCCCAGCTGAGCCCCCCCGAACCCCCCCAGAGCGACTGGGAGCGCAGCCGGGCGCAGCGGGAGCGCGAGGAGCGGCTGCTGGTCACCGCCTGGTACAACATGGTGAGCGCGGGGACGGGGACCCCCGGGACCCCCCGGGACCCCCGGGACCCCCAGGACCCCAGCCAGCCCGGGGGGACACTCGTGCAGCACGGGGGGGCTGAGCCCTGGGCTCTGACTGATCGCTCGATGACGTGCGTGGAAAGTTCTGGATGCTGAGTGACTGGCAGAGAGCCAGGGCTCTGGGGTTAGAGCGGGGAAACTGAGGCACGGAGGATGGGGAGGGGGACAGGAATGGGATTGGGGGGGGCTGGGGGGGGAGAAAGGGATTTGGGGATGAGCTCAGCACAGGAGAGGGAATGCACAGGTAGAGGAAGGGGGTACAGAAGGTTGTAGGTGGAGAGGATGGGATGCTAGAAAGGATGGGATTCTGGAAAGGATGGGATGCTGAGTGATTGACAGATTGACAGTGATTGACAGATTGACAGGGACTGACAGAGCCAGGGCAGGGATTTGGGGATGATCCCAGCGCAGGTGAGGGATTACACAGGTAGAGGGAGGGGATATGAAAAGTTCTAGATTAAAGGATGGGATGCTGAGTGACTGACAGCGATTGACAGTGATTGACAGAGATCGACAGTGATTGACAGATTGGCAGGGACTGACAGATCCAGGACGGGGATTTGGGGACGATCCCAGCGCAGGTGAGGGATTGCACAGGTAGAGGGAGGGGATATGAAAAGTTCTAGATAGAGAGGATGGGATGCTGAGTGACTGACAGCAATTGACAGTGATTGACAGAGATCGACAGTGATTGACAGATTGGCAGGGACTGACAGATCCAGGACGGGGATTTGGGGACGATCCCAGCGCGGGTGAGGAATTACACAGGTAGAGGAGGGGATATGAAAAGTTCTGGATAGAAAGGATGGGATGCTGAGTGACTGACAGGGACTGACAGATCCAGGACGGGGATTTGGGGACGATCCCAGCGCGGGTGAGGAATTACACAGGTAGAGGAGGGGATATGAAAAGTTCTGGATAGAAAGGATGGGATGCTGAGTGACTGACAGGGACTGACAGATCCAGGACGGGGATTTGGGGACGATCCCAGCGCAGCTGAGGGATTACACAGCCAGAGGGAAGGGACACAATCCGACCCAAACCGCGCGCGTCCCGCAGGGGCTGGCGCTGCAGCAGCACGAGGCCGGCGCGGCGGCACGCGGCGGCGGTGGCAGCGGCGCTCTGTCCTTCCTGGCCCAGCAGCGCCTGGCCACGGCGGCGCGGCGGGCGCGGGCCCCGCACGGCCGGGCTCCCTCCAGCTGAGACCCCCGAGACGCGCCGGGCTGGTCCCGTCTCCACACTACACACCCCGGCTCCTTCCGGGGCTTGCCCCCCGTGCCTTTTGGGGGGTTTTTAGCACTTCTATTTTTGTAGCTGGTTTCGGGGGTCTGGTGCGTGGCACCCCCGTGAAATGTTCTAATAAAGGCTCAGGACTCAGCGCTGGAGGTGCTTTATGGGGGGATATTGGGGGGTGGGCTTTGGGGGGGTTTTGGGTGTTTTAAACCACGGGGCAGACTGGGTGGGGGCGAGCAGCCTGCAAATTGCTTCGGTTTTGCCTTTTTCCCTCACGGTTCCCACTGTTTTCCCCTCACATTTCCCTCTTTTTTTCCCCTCAAATTTCTCACCTTTTTCCCCTCACATTTCCTGCCCTTTTTCCCTCATGTTTCCCCCTTTCCCCCTCACGTTTCCCCTCAAATTTCCCTCTCTTTCCCTCAAATTTCCCTCTCTTTTTCCCCTCACATTTCTCACCTTTTTCCCCTCACGTTTCCTGCCCTTTTTCCCCTCACGTTTCCTGCCCTTTTTTCCTCACGTTTCCCCCTTTTCCCCTCACATTTCCCTCTCTTTTTCCCTTCACATTTCTCACCTTTTTCCCCTCATTTCCCGCCCTTTTTCTCCTCACATTTCCTGCCTTTTTTTCCTCATGTTTCCCCCTTTTCCCCTCACATTTCCCGCCCTTTTCCCCTCACGTTTCCCCTCACATTTCTCACCATTTTCCCCTCACGTTTCCCACTATTTTCCCCTCACGTTTCCTGCCCTTTTTCCCCCCTCAAATTTCTCACTTTTCCCCCTCACATTTCCTCCTTTTTCCCCCGACATTTCTCACCCTTCTCCCCTCACATTTCCCACTATTTTCCCCTCACGTTTCCTGCCCTTTTTCCCCCTCAAATTTCTCACTTTTCCCCTCACATTTCCTCCTTTTTCCCCTCACATTTCTCACCCTTTTCCCCTCATATTTCCTCCTTTTCCCCCCCACATTTCTCACCCTTTTCCCCTCACAATTAAGGAAACCCCCTCTAGTTAAACCCTTTAAAACTACGAGAAAAGGGTTTTGGCCCCCCAGTTTAAGCCTTGGAAATGGAAAAAGGGGTTCCCTCTATGTTTAGAGCCCTAAAACGATGGATAAAGGGAGTCTTGTCCCACAATAAAACATAAAAATGGTGAAAAACGTGGAGTTTCCCTCCGTTTCAATCCTTAAAATGTAGGATCCTGCCTCAATTTAAATTTTTTAATGTAATTCCTTCTCAATTTAACCCAGCAAGAGGCTTCCTCCTCCCTTTACTGGTTTTGCCTCAAGAAACAGCAATTTTGGGCCTTTTTGACACCATTTTCCCCATAAAGTCCCTTAAAACAGAGGGCCCCTATTGATGGAAGTCTTAAAACGGCCCATAAAGAGGCTCCTTTCAATGTAAACCCTTAAAAACGACAGAAAACAGCGATTCCTCCTCAATTTAACCATTTAAACAAGGAGAAACTTGGATTTGCCCTCACCTAAATCCCTAAAATATCACAAAGCAGGGATTCGCAGTCAATTAAACCTCTTCAGATGGTGGAAGATGCAGGCTTTTCCTTCCATTTAAATCATTAAGATAGTTTTTAAATCCCCATTATTTGATTATCTCTCTTAAACCCGCGGGTGAAACGCGCTGCGTGTGCGAGGGTGCGCCTATCTCTTTAAATCCGCCGCCATCTTTGAACCGGGCGCGGCTCCCCGCGCGCAGCGCGCAGGCTCAGGAGGGCGGGCGCGGCGCCGGAAGCGCGTCATGCGCGGGCGGAAGCGCGTCAGGCGCGGGCGGAAGCGGGCGGGCGGCGGAGGGTCGCGGCGGCCGCGCCATGGTGGATTACAGCGTGTGGGACCACATCGAGGTCTCGGACGACGAGGACGAGACTCACCCCAACATCGACACCGCCAGTCTCTTCCGATGGCGGCACCAGGTGCGGCTCGGCCGGCCCGCGCCGCCCGGCGCTCCGCGGGAGGCCCGTTCCCATGGCGACCGCGCCCGGGATTCCCGGGGGGACGGGGACGGCGGGGGGGGGGGCCCCCCCGTGCTAAGCAGAGCCCCCCCGGCCGCGCAGGCGCGCGTGGAGCGCATGGAGCAGTTCCAGAAGGAGAAGGAGGAGCTGGATAAGGGCTGCCGCGAGTGCAAGCGCCGGCTGGCCGAGTGCCAGAAGAGGATGAAGGAGCTGGAGCTGGCCGAGCCGCAGAGCGGGAAGGGCGAGCTGGAGAAGCTGCAGGCCGAGGCCCAGCAGCTGAGGAACGAGGAGAAGAGCTGGGAGAGCAAGCTGGAGGAGCTGAGGAAGAAGGAGAAGAACATGCCCTGGAACGTGGACACGCTCAGCAAGGACGGCTTCAGCAAGGTGGGCTTTGGTGGGGTGGGGGGGAACGCCCCCAAAACCCGACCCCACGTCTGTGAGGGGCCCCCCAAAATCGTTGCCTGTGCTCCCCCAGAGCGTTTTCAACGTGAAGCCTGAGGAGAAGGAGGAGACAGAGGAGCAGAAGGAGAAGAAGCACAAAACCTTCGTGGAGCGATACGAAAAGCAGATCAAACACTTTGGTGAGGGTCTGGGGGCTTCAGGGAGCAGCTTTTTGGGGTTCTCCGAGCCTGGGAGCCCCCCCTGTGCTGGGAGCAGCCCGGAATCCTCTCACTTTGCTGGAAAATCAAGGATTTTCTGTGGTTTTCCCATTTTTTTCCCCTGCTGCAGCAGAGTTTAGGGGGGGTTTAGTTAAATTTCAGAGTGGGGGGGCTCGCCCTCCTGCCCAGCCTGTTCCTGGGGGGTTCAGGGTCTGTTCCTGGGGGTTCAGG